TGTGAGCCGGGAGGGGTGCCCTGTACGGCGGGGGGTTAGCCGGGAGAGGGTCCCCATGAGGCGGGCTGGAAGCCATGAGAGGGGCCTAGTCAGGCAGGCAGGTAGCCATGAGAGGGATCCTATCAGGAGGGCAGGTAGCCGCGAGAGGGAAGCAGGAAGATCTGAAACAGGCAATATGGGTAAACCCATTCACCTAGGAGATGACCCTGACAAATTGCCTCCATACCATCGAGATGAGACACTCAGGGGTTCTTGGGGTCATGAAGATGATAGAATGCAGGAGGAATTTCCTTTAGATAGTCAAGATGACCCTTCTTTGGAGCATGAGCAATTGGATGACTGGGAAAGAGAACGATACTGGAGAGATCACAACTCTGATTACCAGGATGATTCTGTAGATGCATATGACAGAGATGACAGGTTGCAATCCCACCACTCATTGCCTCCACTGTCTCCCCTACCACCACTACCTCCTTTATCATCCGATCGTGACAGACGAGATTCGTGGTGGGATGACTGGAAAAGGCCAAGAGAGAGGGAACTAGAGAGAGATGTAGATAGGACTGGAAGATCCTCAGATATTTATGAACAAGATTTAGACAGAGAATGGGATAGAGACTGGGACATGAGACCCGTGGATGACAGAGAAATGGGGAATCGTGACATGGATATCCCCCCTCTACCACCATTACCACCTCTTCCACCCCTGGACAGATACCGTGAAGATAGGTGGAGGGAGGATAGGAACAGAGATCATTATGACAGAGACCTCCGAGACAGGGGAGAGCTGAGGATTCGAGAATATCCAGAGAGATATGACACATGGCGGGAGAAGCAAGACTACGTTCCTGAAAGGGCTGACTGGGAGAGAGAACGGTTGTCAGATAGGTGGTATCCAGATGATGGAGACAGACTGCGGTCTTTGGATGATCATTCAGATTCATCCCTTCCTCCACCTTCACATTCCTCTGATATGCTGGGAGCAGATTCAAACCTGGACTCTGACCAGTCCTTGGGAGGAGTGATGGTCCTTAGCCAAAGACAGCACGAGATAATTCTGAAGGCTGCCCAAGAGCTCAAAATGCTTCGGTGAGTTGCCTGGTTCTGCCACTTTGTATGGGAATCCCATTCTGTGGAGATGGTGCTTCTTTCCTAATTTATTCCTTTACACTGTAATGACTTCATTTTACCACAGTATGATAGTAGGAGCTGGTATGGAACAAGTTATTTGGAGTACTTCCATCACAGCTTTTGTGGATGGACTTTTTTTTCTTAAGTAGGTGGTTGTCCCTTTCTCCATTAATATGGCATTTCCTGTTTGTTACTTTTTGGGAAGAATCTGTTTCCTGACTTGACAAATCTTTTTGTTATCCTCAAATGAGCTTATTGATAATTGCTTTTCAACCTTTTTATTACTGTCAGATGAGCTCACTGGTAACTGCTTTTAATACTTACCTGTCAAGATCTGCATAAATGTGGTTCTTAATTCACACAATGGGACCTATTTAATTTCTGGGTACTGCTTACTTTTTAATTAAAATATATGTGAGTTTTTTCTTTTTACAATGCTCCCTCATTTGAAATCCAGCATCATCGGCAATTTTGTCAAATTTGGTTGATCTTAGTTCTGAGGATCATCATAACAGCAGTGATAACAATCAGAAGGATATGAATGCAAGAGTTCACCAAGACCTTGTTTTAGAAAGCAGCTACTAGACTCTCAAAGGCTTTAATTGGTGTTTGTGTCAGAATGAGTAATAGAATATCCTCTTAAAAATCAGAAACATTCCCAGGCTCAGGAAATTTAGTAGTATTAGAATGAATGGAGCATGTACTATCTATCCAAATGCTGTCTTTGTGATTAGTTGAATGGGTTTACGTGCATTAAATGTATTTGGAGAAAAACAAACAAACACCAAACCAACAAACCCACAAACAAGGAACAAAAAACCATCAAACAAACACAAAAAAACAACCCACACACAAGAAAAAAAAAAAAAGAGATGAGTTTCTTTATTTTCAGTGAATGAGATCTTCCAGACAAAATTGTAGGAAAAAGGGGAAACAGAGACAGAAGTTCATGTGGTTCATTTTATTCATGAGTTACTGAGAGAGAGCTAAGGATTGGTGCCTAGTAAAGACAGGGCTTTAATTTAATAAACAAGATACTATGCTAAAATAATAGGCAACTAAAATGTTTGGCTATCATTATTACATTTACATTAAACAATGTTGAAACAACAGAGACGTTTTGCACTTTTCCTGAAGCTAGTTTTTCAGACTCATAAGACTGCTGCTAAGCATCTGTCCCATGTGGAAGGCCTTAACTGCAAGCCAAAATGCAAGAAAAACAGTTTTTAAAAGGGAGAACTTCTATTCTGAATAATTTGATTTTCCCGTGCAGTTAGATTAATTCAGCAGGTGTTAGTAACTCTGAAATCTGTGTGATAAAGCAGTATTTGCCAAAAGTTTGGCTCAACAGAGCATTTTCAGCTTCCTGACTTTCGCATTGCCTCATGTTGCTGAGCATGTTTTGCTGTTTAACATGACTAACTGCAAGCCAGTGGACTTAGGGACTTATCTTAAGGACCATAGTTTGGGAATCACTACCTAAGCGAATAATTTGTATTGAAACATTGGAACTAAAACATCTTATCTGGGAAATCAGATACATATACCTCTTTCTAAGTCAGTAAAAAGGGGAAATAGAAACATGATACTACTGATACTGATTTTATTTGAATATGAAGGTAATCTAAAAATTAGTTACATTGGTACTTCTCATCAGGTTCTTATAAGCAGATGACCTCGGTCTGAAAAGTAGCAACAACTTTAAGGAGACGATTAGGAGAATCACAAATCATAAGCATTTGTGAGAATCACAAATCATTTGCTTATGAAGAGTTATACTGGTAGCGCAGCACATAACTGCTTTCATCTCCTGAAGTAAAGCCCTCCTATGACTTGCTTTTATTGTGTATAAACCAGCATACTCTGACATGTATGCTGTTCCATATTTGTCACCCAGTGCTAGCAATTGCTCAGTTTACTCTTTGTATTAACACAGCACTGGGATCCCTTTCTATGAGCCAAGTTCCCCTTGCGCCAGTCATTGAACCAGATGCATTGCAGGTCAGGATGGTCTCTGTTGTGCCTTGTACAGAGAGATCGCATTCTTAGTTGTTCTTTGGGAACTACTTTAATACACGCAATTAATATGAACGAAGAGTTATCAGCAATAAAAAAAAACTAGATAAAAACCATGAAAACAAACACTGAAAGGAAATCATCCTGAATGCAACTTTGTAATCCAGTGGTTGTAGTGTGCACTGCTAGTCCATAGACTATGTATTGGTTGTATATTAAATAGCATTTTGATATATCAAACAAGGAAACAAAAGTTAAAATCACTGGTTTGGGGTTTTTTTTAAATATTGGAATCTCCATTGCACTTTGTTGGCCTCAATCCTGTTAGTGTGCAAACCAGAGCGAGTCACTGAGCTGCTACGCACACGTTTTCAGTGGGCTGCTTGTTTGCAAAAGGTGTTGGCAGAAGCTAAAAATCCAGCTTTGCTCTTTAATGTCAAAGTGGAGTGGTTCTGGCCAAGCTCAATAGCATAACTGCATGTCTTGGCAAAGTTATGATCAAGACAGGATGCAGCTAATACACTAAATGCAGCCTCCATGATGAGGTGGATATGAAACAGTGATTTCTGAGTCAATGTTGATCATGTAAAACCTGCTGTGCCCTTTTCTTCTTTGGACTTGGCCCCTGATGCTAGTATAATATGTGGGTTTCACCGTGAGTGTTGATTTCTTTTTCATTTAAGCTACAGACTGATAACACTTCCTTGTGATTCATGTGCAGAGAGCAAAAAGAACAGCTACAAAAGTTGAAAGAGTTTAAGCCTGACATTTCCACACAGGACTCTCCAAGATCACAGAATACAAGCACAAGGCCAGGTACCTTTCAGGTAAATAAATCTTATGTTAACTTGTAACATGCTGGTAGTAATTACTATTAATGTATACGTCAGATTAGTTCTACACTCTGATGATCAAACTTCTCTGTGGAATGCATCTCCAACAGCCATTACAACCTCATCAGTCTTCTGTTGAGGCAAAGCAACTTCTTAGTTTCTTTAGATTTTCCAAAGCCTTTTCTACTCTTTCAGTCCATAATGTCTTCTGAGCATTACCCACTGGGACAGTAGCACATGAGGTTCAACAGCCTAGATTGCTGTGGGATGATGTGCAAGGAGAGGTGAGCTCTCCAAAACACAGACATAAGGCTCATGAGAAGACCCTCTGGTTCCTTGCCTGAGTTCAGACATCTTGCTCTGGTTTTCCTACTTTAAGAGTTCTCTCCTCTTTGAAGTTAGAGGAACGTGAGAATAGGTCTTCAGAAATAGATACTTCAGTGTAGAGCAGGCATTAGCTTTCTGTTTGCTGTCTTTATTGGGAATTCCCATTACCCTTTGTAATATAAGGTGCATGGAAGCTTACATTTGCATACTTCCGTGACTTCATCTGCTGTTGTGGTGCAAGTTATTCCTCTGCTGCTTAATCTCCTGGTTGGTTCTGGGAACCCTTTTCAGCTGCTTATATTTGGATTTTTTGGTATTTCATACCCAGTCAGAAACCAAGTGAACTTCTATAGTCATGTTAACTCAGGTTTAGAAATCCTTCCTAGAACAAATAAACGATTTTGTTAAATGTATGTTAGAGAAGATGCCTGAGTTGATGCAGGCTTTATTCTTCATCACATCTTAACTCCAAAGTTGCTGGTACCGTAGCAGTAAATTTAGCCATAATGACCTCTGGATCTGACATTTAGCCAGACCAAGCTTTGTTTTCCCCCTCACTTGAGAGAAGTGTTATGCAGTGAATGAGACACTGCAAGTTTTCATTTAGCCCATGTCCTCTTCCTTGTTCACAGTGTCTATAAAGTAAAATAATGGAACAGATTTGCTACCAAGAAGTACAAGTGGGCTGATGCCTTAAGGAAGTGACTTTATTTTCTATCTCAGACTACTTCACCCATCTGCCTAGAGGTTTTCAAACAAGTTTTACCTGTCTTGGAATTCCTGCCTTCACATTTCACATGACTTTGAACTGCTATTACAAAGTTCAGCTTTGTATCTACAACCGTTCTGAAAGTTTTATTGCATGTTGCTAATAAGGCTGCTTGTAACTTTGCATCTGCTGTGGTGCTGAAAAAGACTTGTGATATAGCACATGGGGTTCCGTGTTTCGTTCATGAAGGGTTTGTTTTGTTCCATTGCCCTAGACCTCCCCATTTCTTACGGTGATCTGATCTTGATTTCATTAAGGGGGTTCCAGGTGTTTCTGCTTCCTGGGAATTTTTCCAGTGACTTCCAGAAAGAAGTTGGCTTTATTAATCCTCTTGTGCCTCACCAAGCTGCCCTGCATTGAGACCTTTTCAGCCTCCCCACAGACAGTAGTAATCTTTGCAGACAGCAGGAGTCTTGGGGAATAAAACTGCAGAAACTTTTAAACTGAAATAGGCCTACTTGAGCTTAAATTGGTAAGGTTATTTTGAAGGAGAAAATAAATAGTGTTTAAGCCTTCACATAGTGAACAAACACCAAATTACTTCAGGCCACCAGTTCTTGAAATACTGTCCTCCTACCTGTAGCACCTAGATGGAGGTACTAGGAAATGCTTATGATTTGATTACCGATTGCCATTGTGCTTACTGACTTACAGAGGATGAGAGAAGGTTAGTTTACAGATCTACATTAAAAGTGCTTTCTGCATCTAGGTCTCCTCTCAGCTATCTTCAGAGGCACCAATAGAAGCCCAAGCTATTAAACCTTCTCCTGCTGTAATTATAAAGCCTCCCGTGTTGTTCAGACAGCCTACCCCTGTGACAAGACCAAGTGCCCCACTGACAAGGCCTGCTACACCTTTGACAAGGCCACATGCTCCAGTTTCTACTCCAACTACAACCCCAAGTCATGGTCAGTCTTTAAAACCATCACCTTCTACTATGGAACAGGAACGCTGGGATGAGGATTCTTTCCATGGACTGTGGGACACAAATGAGGATAAAGGAGCAAATATGGAGTACGAGTTGTGTAAACAGGAGTCAATGATGCCTCCACCTGTCTCGTCGCCTGTGAAAGTACCTGCTGTTCACACATCTGTTGCATCAGCTGTACCGGTCTCCCTTCCTCCAGTTATTCCACCAGTTGCTAAAGCACCCGTAATTCAGCAAACTGTGGATTATGGCCACGGGCGCGGTGAGTGTATTTGTTTGATCTGTAATGGAGAGCTAATTAGTCCTCCTAGTGTCTTTCTACAGGAGTGTGCCAGACAAAGCATGCTGTAGATGTTCTGCAGTTGACCTGTAGGCTGCATACATTGCAATCTAATGCCAATAAATGCAGTTCTGAAGAGTATGTAACCTTCAGACTTGAATTTAATGTTTTCTTCAGTGCTGTGATAATGAGTAATTTCGTGTGAACTAAATGGTGTATAGCCACGTCTGTCTCTAAGCACCAACTGATATGATTACATCAATGTGTTATATTTAGATTGATACTGATACTTTCCCTTAATCCCTTTGTAGCCGAGTATGGAAATAACTGTTCTGGGAGGTACTTTGAATTGTTATGGCTCTTAGGTGTGATTTAGTAACTTAAAGCAGAATGTGACTCGTGTTTGCATTATTTATATACTGTTTAATTGGTGTGAGGTACTCTCTGGGCAGGGAGTGAGACAAAGTCCTGGTATTTCTGAAGGGTGTGCACCCTAAACAAGCATTTAACACACAAACAGTGAAGGGCTCTGATTTTCGCTACTGAGCTTATCAAAGCTAAAATCCAACACTAGTTTTTAAACAGAATTAATTAACAGGAGTGGAATCATGTTTTAACAAAGTCCTTAAACTGTAGATTGCTGTTTGAAGAACTTTTTTTCTGTCTCTAAGGTACCATAACATGAATCGAAGCCATATTGAATCCATTAAGTAGATGCTTCACTAAAAGCTGATAGAAAATTATCATTGTTAGGAATTTAAAGTGAGCATTTCAGTTAATATTCTTGACATTACAGCACTTTAAGAGTTTTTTAAACTTTCAGAGCATTTTAATGTTTATAATTTTCTGCCTGTGCATGCTGCCTGAACTCATCTGAAAAGGCAGAAGTCCCATTCTGAAGATTAAGTGGTACACATAGTTACAGACAAAACCACTTCAGACTTCCAAACCCATGGTGGTGTGTATTCATGTATAGCTATTTTTGCATTATCCATTAAAAGAAATTTTGGTAAGTTATCCCAGCCGCTTTTAATGCCATTGACTGATTGCTTTTCATGATAACAGAAAGAAAATGGGAGAGGGGTATTTTAAGATCCTAATTTTTTTTTATTATTTTTAACCAGATATAACCACCAGTAAAGTGGAACAGATTCCATATGGGGAGAGGGTAACCCTGCGTCCAGAACCTTTACCGGAGAGGCAAACATTTCAAAAAGGTATGGAGCGGTTGGCTAGCTCTCAGACAGTTAGCTCTTAAGAAAAGTTTTAAGGCAGTAAAAGCATATTTTAAACTAAGTAACTCTTGTTTAAACTAGAACCACTTCATTTTCTTCAGAGGCCCATAAGAATTTCAGTTTGTATTGTCAAGAGGAGTAGTGTAGTCAATGACCTAGCCACTTTAAAACTTCAGTTTTGTGGCTTTAAATAGCACTGCATGGTACAGTTCTCTGTTACAGTTTGGAAAAGAGATTCAATGGCTGAGTAAGTCAGTTCTAGCCCTCACATAAGATGTTTCTATACACTTTTCTTGCACTTTTGTTTGTTGCTTTTCCTTTAAAAATTATTTAAAAAATTGAATATGTTTTAGTACTTTGGATTTCCATGGGTTTCTCCTTTCAGAGCACCCAGGTCGTTACAACAGAGAAAGAGATCGTGAACCTTATTTTGAGCGTCAAGGTAATTCCAACACAGATCATCGGGATTTCAAGAGAGAGCGGGAATTGCACAGAGACCGTGGTTCTGTGGATTATGAACGAGAGAGATTTGAAAAAGACCGTCATCCCCGAGATGATAGGTACGTGTTTTTGGAACACTGTTGAAATGAATACAATTCAGGCTGTGCTGAGTATCAGGCTGTCCATTTTGCATTTGAGGCCCGTGTTCACTTCTCTCTGGGATCTGTAGTAGAGATTCCAGAAATACACAAAATATTCTTTCTGCAGGGTTCTTCCTACTACACCTTCAAGGACTCAGTCTTACCGTGACAAGAAAGACCATCCCTCCTCCAGGCGGGGTGGTTTTGAAAGACCACCGTATGAACGAAAGACAGATCGCCCAGCATATGATCATGGGCCGTCCATGTTTGGAGGTACAGTTTCTCAATCTTGAACCTATGCTAGAATATTAGTATATATACAGACTTGCAGAGGTGAAGATTAATTGGGAGATGATTAATTCATTGGCAGTATTTCTTTGGTCAGAATATATAATGCAGGAAAATTTATCTGGGTGGTGTCATGTAGTTTTGTTTGTCAGTGGTGACGAGATCAGGAATGCAACAGTTATCTACTATGCTAAAAAATGTCTTCAATTGCAATAGGCTCAAGATTAAAAATGTGAATTATCTGGAGGACAAATATGTGAATTTATCCTAAAATAATGAAGGTCTGCTTAAATCAGCTCAACTGGGTATGAACATCTTAATTTTTTTATTTTACTGAACTAAGAAAACTCTTCTGTCCAAACACTGGAATTTGAAGGTGATCGTAGAAACTATCCTGAGGAAAGGATTCCTATTTCTGCTCCATCAATACCCCGTCAGCCACCACCTGCTCCACGAGTGGAAAGAAAGCCAGAATCTAAAAATGTAGATGATATTTTGAAGCCACCAGGACGGGATAGCAGGCCAGAGAGGGTGAGTATGCATTCTGAAAGCAGCAATAGGTTCCTACGGGGTCTGTATTTAGCTAAAATGCTCATGAGTGTAGTATGTTGAGAACAAGCTTACATTTGAGGAAGCTCAGGAAGTTCTCTTGGTTCCTTTGCAAATGCCTGGAGTGTTGTAGTATAGTTGTTAGGAGTCCACAGGAGTTGTAAACTTCCTTGGAATGCTAAGAATAAGTTCCTATTAGTGAGTAATGTTAATATATTTTAGACTCTTCTGAGATCTTCACTTGGATTTTGATGTATCAGAGGGAGGACTTGGCTTTACACAGTCAGAGGTTTTGCAACACACCATATAAAATAAGGAAGAGCAAGACACGTATGCAGAAGTGTGAGCCCAGAGCACATATTTTTCTAGAGGAAAATTTTTGCAGAAGACATTATGTTAAGTGTAGTACAGTATCCTGTCTTCTTACATGATCTTTTTTTCAGATTGTAATCATAATGAGAGGGTTGCCTGGCAGTGGAAAGACACATGTCGCAAAACTCATCAGGGTATGTAAACAACCGCCCACTGTGTAGTGCTGCTTGTCTTTTATGTGCGATTCCTCTGCTGTTTTCTTTCTGTTTGTCTGGAATTTCACATGCACATGTCTTACTATGGCATTGAAGCCCCCTCCTCTATTAGCGAGCGTGACAAAAACTGCTCTCTTCTTGTTTTGAAGGTAGAGCAGGGAACTGCTGTATACCAGAAGTGTTTTGAAGATGCTCTGTAGCATAATGGAATATTTCAACAAGAATATATGTTTTCTTTTTGCTTTCTTCCCAGGATAAAGAAGTAGAGTGTGGAGGACCTGCACCAAGAGTGCTCAGCCTGGATGACTATTTTATCACTGAAGTGGAAAAAGAAGAGAGAGACCCAGATACAGGGAAAAAAGTGAAAAAGAAGGTACTTTTAATTTGCTTCCTTATCTTGACAAAGAAATAAGACATTCTGGAACAACACAGTGGCAATCAGAATTACAATGCGTGGCTCTGGAAGAGTGCAGAGGTCTGTGGCCTGCTTTTCAAAAAACTTAGTATAACCTAAGGGTAGTATTCTGAAAAGTTGACCCGGAAGATGTTTTTCTCATACCAATGTACTTAGTGGTTGTGACATTCAGCAGTTGAACATAGGTGTCCTCTTTCTTAAATGATTTTGTCCTTGATAAAGGTGATGGAGTATGAATACGAAGCTGATATGGAAGAGACCTATCGTACCAGCATGTTTAAAACTTTCAAAAAGACCTTGGATGATGGCTTCTTCCCCTTCATAATCCTTGATGCTATCAATGATAGAGTGCGACACTTTGAACAGTTCTGGAGTGCTGCAAAAACCAAGGGTTTTGAGGTAATGGAGCCTAAAAAGCATTTGAACTTGCTAGCACCCATATGCTGGTATTTCTAAACTTTTGAATGCAAAGTCCCTCCCACAATCAGGAAAAATTCTGTAGTTTGCATTTACAAATTTAACTTTCTTAGAATGTACAACTGCAAAGTGTATAACCAGGGGGAAAAAAAGAGCTAATATTGTTTTTCTCTTTCTAGGTGTACTTAGCTGAAATGAGTGCAGATAACCAGACGTGTTCCAAGAGGAATATTCATGGACGCAAGCTAAAGGATATCAGCAGGGTAACCGTATACATCTGGAGTTATAGGATTAATGATAGTTTTCATTGTGCTTTCAGGCCCGCTGTTGTTCAAATACCTCCTTTAGACTACATAAATTATTAGACTTTTCCTCTAAGAAGAGCTTGTAGTTATTTCATGGGATCAATTGAAATTACTTAAGTACAGATACATCTTGTTCATGATCAGAAACCAAATCGTCCATTGAATGTTATATTTTTAGAAGTGCTTCATTTTTGTTTGTTTTTTGTTAGATGTCTGATCACTGGGAGGCAGCACCACGTCACATGATGCGTCTTGACATTCGTTCTCTATTGCAAGATGCTGCTATTGAAGAGGTGAGAATCTCTGTGCTTGTTAAAATTACGTAGATGTGACCGTGCAGAAAATACAGAGCAGCAAAAGGTCTGATCACAACAGGGCAGTTATACTTGGCTCTGTAGAAAGCCAGAATCTCTGTGTCAGACAAGTGTATTCCATTATTCTTATTAATTGCCCAAATATGAAGGTACACGTTAATTTTTTATCACCTTTTTGGAGCCCAGGATTAGGTATCTGAGGAAGAGTTGAAGCCGCTTTGATCGTAGCAACTGTTGAGTACCAATTAAAGAGGATCTTCGTGCTCTCAGACGAAACTCAGGACTTTTTTTCAGGTTGCTGGATTAATTGGATCATAATTTGAGGAAATAGTTTGGTAAAATAAATAAATAAATGGATTTGACTTCCTTGTGGTCACTGCTCTGAGACATATGGACCTGTAGCAGACAATGAAGAAAGAAATAACATGTAGCAGAAGATTACACTTGCTGTAGAAGTATGCTGCCTTTTAATTCCATTTGGAGTTTGCTGTGACATGCATCTTTAGTGTGTCAATTTTCTGTAGTGTTGCATTCTTCTTTGGCAGATGTTTCAGGAGCTCTGTGAATAAATTTGTATGTTAATCATACGCTATCATGAATGTACCATAGCTGCAAGTAGCTGTCATAAACAGCTCCTGCCTTAGTCATAGAAACTGATGAACTGCTGAAGTAGGAAGAGAGTTTACTCTTGCAGTTTGTCATGAGGACAGCAGCTTATTTTTGAATCTCCGTATTGTATGTGTTGGAATATAGCAATCTATAAGAGAACAGCAAACATCTCAGCTCTTAAGTAGACTCAGAGAAGGGCAGATTTGGGATTTACTCTGTGCATCAAGGTTTTACTAATGGTATGAAGAACTGTATATACTTGAAGAGTTTAGGGATTCTACAGTATACACATGAATCCCCATTAGAGACATGGATCCCAGAAAGTATTATATTACTTGGGCAGGGTTAGATGTATGTCTTAAAACATCCATTTTCTTTATTACGTTAATCTCTGGTTATTATTCTTCACTTTGATATTTAAATATATCAGAGGTGAAGTCTTGTTAGGGATGTTGGAGAGCCATTCCAGTCATGTGTAAATGGCAAGCTTAAAATTCTTTTCTGAGATTCCAGGTTTTGAAATGTGACTGTGTGGGAAGCAGGAGAAGTATCTCACTGTTACAGATACTGGCAGCACAAAGAATGCATGTGAAGGAAGAGAATAAACAATTGCTACTTTCCCATACAGTTTGTCACTCTGTAGCTAGAAGGGACCCTGCTTCTGAGGGAAGCCAAAATGGAGACAGTATTCATATATATTGCATCATAATACTTTCCAAGCTGGATTCTTTTTTTTTATTATTATTCTATTTGAACTTGGAATCTTCTAGTTCTTCTATTATTCATTTTAGATATTAATCTAAAATGTTAATATGTAGAAGTCAAGCAGCGCAAAAGTCTGTGCTTATGCTTTGGAACAGGTGGAGATGGAGGATTTTGATGCAAATATTGAAGACCAGAAAGAAGAAGACAAGAAGGATACAGCAGAGGAGGAAGAAAGTGAACTGGTAGGAGACACATCAGCCATCTCTCATGAAATGTTTGTTAATGTGTCTGAGGGAGAATCCCAGCTTTGTAAATGCCAACCCATTGCCACTCTTAGCAGTATAATCTTAATGCACGTGTTTCCAGTCACTTGTTTCTTAAACATTTCTAGGAGAACTTTAATATTAAATCATATTATTCCTAACTGAATTTTTTAGGAATCTTTGCGTATATGCCACAAACAGGATTATCAGTGGAGCGTGGCAATACGCCTCTTACAAACATTTATAAATTGCAGTACACTATAGTGCTATCTTTCAGATTATCTAAGAATTACACTAAGTGGAGGGATGGGAAGAATGGGCAAAGACAAGTTTAGCTTACTTCCTTTCATGTGTCTGAAGAGCTCTCCTCGACTGTCACAATATATGACAACAGTTACGAAGAAGAATGCTTTCTCTGCCAAGGTTCTCTGACTTTGTCAGTAGGTGTTTCCAAGATGAGGGATTAGGTTTCTTGGATATATGAAGGTTAGAGAATTGCCCTGAGGGCTGGTGTTTTTAGGTATGTATCTAAAAGGTTATGGAAGGCTTCCAAAGGATTCTTGGTATGTGCTGGAGCTGCAACTGGTCAATGCGTGATGAGTTGAATGTGTCAAACCCTGGTTCCCACAACCAAGTATTTCAGCTGCTTTCTAAACTGCCATTCCTGAGGAATAGTAAATTTCCATCAAGAAAAAGGACTTTGCTCATCTCAGACATTTTTGGTTACTTCCTGTTTATTGGAGTCTTGTACCAAAGGATGAAGTCTGAATCTTTTCTCATCCTATCTGAGGACCAGGATATTGTACAGATTCAGCACACAATAGGCCATTTCACACCACCAAAGTCACTCTTGTTGCCATTATCAACTCCCATAGTGTTGCTTTTAGCATTCAGACAATTCTTGCCTTTCTGTGCTTGATGGTATGAATTATTGATGCATTTAACTTAGTGCTCTCACCAGCATATCACACATCACTTTCTTCAATACAGGCTTCTAGCTGTGGTGTAAACTTTCTGAGCAACTTTTAATGGGCAACTTGGTTTAAAAGTATAGATAAACATATATACATGAAGGTTTTTTATTTGTTACAAGGAAATATTGCAGCACAAACCATCTTAATTTCTATTAATTACAGACATGATTAAACAATAAAATACAGAGATCTGATAATCTCAAGTCACTGATATATGCTTGATAGAAAAAAGGTCTTTTGAGGATTTTGGAAGAGCAATGCCGAACATAATCAAAAGCAGTGTAGCTCTCTGGAATAGTACACTCCGATTTAGTAACCCTTAAGATTAACAAGTACACATATATGTTTACCACAGTGGAGGCAAATAAATAGAGCAGGAAAGAAGTTAATGTAATAAAACTGGTTTGTGGATTGTTTGTTTCCATGCTGAAATTTTCTAGAGTAGTTCTTCTCCCTCTATTAAAAATCATTCTTAAAATAATGAAATTCTCACAAGGGTTCCATTTCATTACATTGAGCTTTTTATGTGATTGTGGAGAAACATAAGTACTTTTATGTCAATTTTGAATGGCTAAAATGAGTTATATGGGGTTGCTCAATAAGGATTTACTTGTCCACGCGTATAAAATTAGAAAATAACAAGAACATGCCTAAAATAAATAGCTTTTTGCCAAATTCAATATCATTATGCTAATGGACAAGGAATAAACTGCCTTAAGATCATGATGACATCATTTGTAGGGGAAAAGTGTTTTGAAAGAATCATCGAACTAAGAGGGTTATTTTAAAATAAAAAGTAGTAATTAAATCTTAGTGTTTCAGGAGATACTCATTAAAAAAAAAAATGGTGTAGTTGTGGGCTAACCACTAAGGAATTCAGCATGTCCCTTCAGAAGGATTCAGTGAGGCTTGTGTGTAGTAAATCTGAGAATATATTCTTAAATACTGGTGACTATGGTAACTTTTTCATTTGTGTTTGTAAAGCTTTGGATATTCTTTATGCCTGATAAGTTGTGTTGCAGTAACTTTGCCACCTGGGATAATATCATATAGTAACTGTGCACACAGCGCCATGGGTGTCTGTTAGACTCATTCCAGAGTTCTCTGTTTGCAGAGGGCAGCACTTTTGCAATGATTTGCAAGGGCTGCTAAAATGATTGAATGGGAAGTGGATGCGGAAGTTCTGAAATACTGAGTAATTTGTTTCCTTCATCTGATAACAAGAATTGTGCCTTACAGAAGGAAATACCTTAAGCTCCCATTATAATGCTGTTTCCAGTTCGAAAGTGATATGCATGTGTGTCTCTCTCTAATCCTCCGAGCTTCTCTCTGTGTATGATTTAGGGTTACATTCCGAAAAGCAAATGGGAGATGGACACTTCTGAGGCAAAGCTAGGTGGGTATTTATTTTTTCCTGTTATTCTAGTTGGTATCTGATGATGTTTGCAAAACCTGATTTTTTGTTTTTATTGTGCCTCCTTACCAAAGACAAATAAATGTGTTGATCTCATACACGTGTCTAAAAATGCAAAAGCATCTATACAGAAAAGTAATTTGTCTTCTCCCAGAGGCAAGGGAATTACAACTTTCTAACCATCGCTGGTTTATATACTCATTGTTCTTCCGTTTGTTCAAGGAAAGTACTTTGTCTTAAAATTTAAAAAAAAAAAGAAAGCAGTATTTCTATTCTTTATTCATTTCTTCTGTATTGTAAAATACAAAGTCAACTTAACATTGCACTGCATTCTTGTTCATACTGCACACTTTTTTTCAAGCCTAAATGTCATCAGTAACTTCTTACTTTCTTGATGATGTATCTGGTAGCTAACTGTATTGAAGATGTTTCTCACTAGCCAAAATTGATGGGTGTGAGACAAAGTAGTGCCATGCTTTGAAGTTGATTCTGAATGATTAGGCCTTGGTATTGAAAAGTTAAACTTTGTTACACTTTTCAGTTCCAGGAGAGTACTAGAATTCTTCTTGGTAGGATACAAAATGGACTTTCCAGGAGTACAAGGGCGCTATTTTTGCTGGTTGTGTTAGACACGCTATTATTAAGTTTCTGTCAAAGTCAAAAGCAACTTTCAGGAAGAAGTGCATGCGCCGTGGCTATGGTGGAAGGTGTACACAAGGAAAAGGGTTTCTAGTCATTGTGATCAGGTTTGGTTTGGGGTTTTGTTTGTTTGTTTCACTGAACATTAACGATTCCAAGTGAAGATTTTGTCAGTTAAATCTGATTAAGACTGTTATTTTCTGTTATGTCCGTGAGAAGTAACAAATATCTGAATGGGATGTAGCATGTCTTGATATTTTGAGATTTGCTTCTGCATGTGTGGTACAGCCCTGTCTATCACTACTTTCAATAACCAAAATCATAACTGCACCATAGAAATATCATGAGAAGTTCTGGCTTGCGTAAAGCAGCTTTTCATCTTGTACTGTTAACTGCTTAGTTGCACCATCTCTTCTGCTGCTGTGCTCTCTTTTAAGTGATTTAAATATTTGTGGGATACATTGACATTGTGGCACCTGCTTACAACAGGAGGAACCCTGTACTCAGTGATTCAAATATATCAAACAGCTAGGCAGTTAGACATAATTAATTCAGGATTGCTCTGCATTCTTGTTTTAAGTGTTGATTGTTTTAGTATTTTAAGATTATTTCTGAAGTTTATGATTCCCCCTCACACCCCTATCCCTTCCCCTCCCCAGTTATGTATGAAGTCACAGTACTGGAAAACTTCATTGTTGAAGAATGCTCTGATACGCTGTGTTATATTCCAAATAATATAGACTCCTTTAAATACTGAGTAGTAGGAGCAGATCTGTTGTACTGCACATGGTGAACCTTAAGTCATCCCGTCTGCTGTACAAATATCACAGGAGTTCACGTGTTCTAAAAAGATTTTATTTGTAGTTTCTAGCAATGTGGACACTGTGACTGCAGCAGAAATTTAGAGATAGCTTTAAAAATTTACCTCTCTCATGATGAAATACTGGTAACAAATAAAGAATTGTGTTGCGTTTTTTTCCATATGAAAACCGCATTAATATAAACCACAGGATTTGTATATGGTCTCCACTGTAAAATGAGGAGCGAGCAGCAGAGTGAATTTTTGCTAAAGTAAGTTGCTTGCAAGGCTGTTGCAATAATCCTTTAACAATCAAACTCCATTAACAAACTGGATGTTAGCATGCTGCCAAGACACAGAGAACTTTTATAACTAACCTCTAGATTAATTTTTATAAATATGTGGAACTATAGATTAAAAGTAAATTCTGACAGAAGATGCATTTTAAAAAAGCCATGTGTGTTCCTATGTAATGAATGCTGCTTTTTCAAACAATTGCTCTGCAAGGGCGGACAACTTTTGGCTCAAGGTATGCATTATAAGCACTTGCAGTATGTGAGTAAAAATTATTATATTTAATTCACAATGAGCCTTTGTTGTAGATGACCAATTAAAATTATTTCCTGAAAGGCATGTAGACTGTGGTATGCATTTGTTATTCCAAAGTTGAGTTATTTCTTGGGAACTGGGCTGGCCGTTAGGTCTATCGCATTAGTCCTAGAAGGCACACATTTGCAGAAATGATACATGTGCAGAATCCAAAAAAACCACTAAGCTTTGTTTTGCCTTTGTTTTCTTTCTGTGTAGATGTTGTTACAGTAAAGCACAATAAGATTTTACTGATTGTAATAATCCTCAAAAAAGGTCTGCACGTTTTCAGTTCTTCAGCTGCAATGCTGACTTACGATAGTCACCATACCATACACTCCAGAGCTCTTGCTTTAGTTCAGATTCACTTTGGCAGGGGCGATGCATTCCTCTGAGTGTGTGTGTGTGGTATATTGTTTCCTTGTGTGTTGTGGGTGCACAGCCATGTTTTTATTCTAAACCTGGTCTGTAAATCACTGATCTGTCTTGGTGCATAGTGCACATCAGTTCCTGTATTTAAATTTACAAAAACAGACTTACATTTTTAAAATTGACTATATTCCAAATGTTTAGTGCAATACTCTGTTTCAATGTGCAGTTTAGTGGCAAGTCCAACAAACTTTTCAGGATTTCAGGAGAAATGACCACTGGCATAGCTTAAGTTCTGAAACCATTATAAAATTTGTTCTAGAATGCAAATAACTTTTTACATAAAACTTGGTGGCTTTTGTATAAGAAGAGCAAAAATTTAGTTGATTGATTCATTTTGTTTTTGAAGGAGTCCATTAAGTCAGTTACATTCAGATGCTTTATTATTAAAATTCCAAAGGTGAGTTGTTATGGTCTGTGGGTTTTCAGAAATGCTGCTGCTTCATTGGTTTTAAAATTTAAATGGTAAAATGATGTTTGATAGTTTAACACTAAATAATTACCAGCCATAAATATTCACAAGCACCATTGTTACAAAATGACACTTTGTCTCATTTTCAGAAAAGAATATTCTGAAATAATGCTTTGTGGTAGGCTTTTGATGTTTCTGTAGTGTGTCTACTGCAAGGCATACCTTGAACCACGATAGTATGGATGGAAGCAGATCCCTCTGGAAACGCAATCTTCAAAAATGGAAGGAGATGACATTTTAAAATAAATTCTGTCTAGCAGTGGCAAAAAGGGGCAGAGGGGAACCTCATACTCTGAATGCCTCCTGAACTCCTGAATTGGCATTTGAGAGTTATACATTTCTTGGTGATGGTAATGCATCATAGCATGTTGCCTTGTTGTACAGATACTTGTCAATAGAGAGCTCCTGAAGTTTCAGGTCTTTGTGTTCCTAAATGCTCCTCAATGCATTTGTTGCTCATCTTTTCAATGTTACTTTTTCTGGAAACCCTTATGCTCTGAATGATCTATGCTGATTGATCTGAGAGTAATACTGAGGAATAGTGCAAGTACGTTACATGCTGGAGTAACAGAGGAATATTGTATGAATCAATTTTGTCTTCTAGAGGGAGTGCCGTCTTTCTGTGGAGATTGAACTTCAAATTCGGCAGATTTACTTAGAGCAAAAGAACCCTTAACTGAATTGTGTAACGAGATATCATATCACAGATACAAATATTCTGCCGTTTTCTTCAATGTTGGGGTTTTTAAAAGGCAGAGGGGGTTTAAAATATTTTCTCAGAAAAAATTCTGTGTCTGTTCCTGGGAAATGGGGCAAAGGCAGAGTCTCAAAATTTTAAAGTTGTGTGAGGGAGAAATTACTTCATTAGTTTATGGCATTTAAATTATGCTAGCATGTCTACATCATCATTGCCTCACATTATCTCTCTTGTTGCTCTTTTTTCTCACATATTAAGTAGAAAAACTCATCTCTAAACTGAGCTTCTTTAAATACATACCTTTGAACATCCTGTTCTTCTATCCAGAAACTATGCCACTTTGGTTTATTTCTGAGGCCTTTTGTGGGTGAATTTTATTACATCAGTGACTTCTGGAGCAATGTTATTGACATCACTGGTAATGGTTTACAGAACGTAACTGCCAAGCTTAGTATTCCTTCTGCATATACTTGAATTGTTGGCTTATAAAATGATACATCGACAGAAATCCTAGGATTTTCTTTGACTTGTAAAGCCGTTTTTCATTTTCATTCTTTGTTGTTTGTAATCTTACAGTGAATACTTCATCTCCTTTCCAAAAGCAGTTTGCCACATAATTTCAAGAAGGTGTTGTTTTTTCACTGAAAATAAGTGTCCAAAGAGGAACAAAATTTTAGAACCTAGGAATGGAATTGTTTCTCCTCATGCCTTATCGGTTCAATGAGAAAAGGAAGAAAATGACTGTTGGACAAATGTACTGCTCAAATATTCATGACTGACCTCTTACACCATGAAACAAAAGATTCTAAGATTATTTTTCCAGTCCTGGATGATTTTTTTTTGAGCGTGTTTTCCTTGTGGGGAGAGAATTAGAAGCGGAGGTGGGGGGGAGCGGGGGAGGGAAATCAGTGTTTCCAAGGAGCTTTTTGTTTAGCAAAACCAGTATCTCAAATACTTGTTATGGCATTAAATTATATGATCGTCACTTGTTCCCTGATACTGCATGTATGCCATGTTTGACACAGTATTAAACCCCAAATTTGGGAAAAATGCTACAGCTTTAGTATTATGTTCAAATACAGAAAGGTGGATCTATGGTTCCTAGCTATCAGTGGCTATGTTGTACCTGTAAGGACAGTCTCCATACAGTGTGAACATCCAGAAGCAAGCTTTTCTCTCTCATACAATGAGACCGAGTGTTATTGCCACACATTTAATGTGAAATATCAATAAAACTTGAAAATGGTGTTGAGTCTTCTCTAGTTTATTTCAACTCTCATCATTCCACCTGTCAAGACAAGCTGGATATACAAGTTCTGCTGCTCATTCTTTTGAAAAGTTTTCCACTTTCCTCTTGTTTGTGTGAATAATAGAAAAAATTCTCCTTTAACTCTGAGGCTCTGTGTTTGTTCTCAGACAAGCTGGATGGTTTGCGGACTGGCACTAAAAGGAAACGTGACTGGGAAGCAATTGCCAGCAGAATGGAAGATTATCTACAGCTTCCAGATGACTATGATACACGTGCTTCTGAACCTGGAAAGAAAAGGGTAATAAAATTTCAAATTACTTACTGTCTGTATATGATCACTTAACAGTCTTTGTGAAAAATGGTTTTTATCAAGTCGCTCAGGGTCTATAAATATTGCAGTTTCACTGACTCACTTTTCATTTTGCTGTTCCCTTGGATTCTGTAAGAGAATATTCTTGACAGTAGGGTCTTCCAGAGGTAAACGGATTAATTACAAGGAAGTGAAGCATTGTAAATAATTTGAGATGGAGAGGGAATGGAATCATATCCCATTTCTTGCTGTAGAGTCCTTTTCGTATGCTGTATGTTTTGTGATGGAAGTGTGATATACAGTGCAGATTCCAAGACAAAATGATGGGGTTTATTAAGCTTTTTATTATTTTTTTTTTTTTTTTTAGTTAGGTTTTGCAATAAGTAGGCACAATACACTGTTCTTCAGCTAAAGAAAGTATCAGCTATGGAGGTTTTAAAGTAATTAAGTCTTGTAGATGTTACCTCCTTCATAAAGCTTGGAAGATGGCGTGTTAGAAGTTGGCTTCAACCACTTTATATGCGCTTCTGTTCTGAACGCAAAATATTACATCTTCGGAAGATGGCGTGTTAGAAGTTGGCTTCAACCACTTTATATGCGCTTCTGTTCTGAACGCAAAATATTACATCTTCAAATATCATTGTGAAAAAAGAGAAAAAAAAAAACATAGAGGAAGATGAAAGAGAGGTAATAGGAAGAGGTAATATTTTTTTTTTTTTTTTTTTTTTTTTTTTTTTTTCCAGAATTGGAAAATAGGAAGAGCAACTTTTGCCACTAAAACTAATTTGAGTTTGCTGTCTGTGTTTGGGCTTTTCTATTGTCCTGTGATGTCAAACAGAAAACACAGGTAGTACTGGACAGTGTGTGTGGGGAAAAATGGAGGTGCTAAGGCACCGGCAGAGAAAGTAATGGTAGAAGAAAGCAGACATTGCTAATCTGGGAGCAGGCA